TTTCAATGAAAAAACAAACGATTGAGTTCCCAGGTTAAATGATAAAACAACAAATAAATCAACAGGATGCAGTGATGTCCAGCTCAGCATATGTAGAAGAGATGCTTAAAACAGTTCCATTTGACAGTGGGGAGGCAGAGGCGTCGAAGTGGACGCGGACGTCAGTTGTCACATATACAGCAACTATTTAGGAAACTATTTCCTAAATAGGAAGTAGATGTGGAGCCATATTCTCAAAACACCGTAAATGAGTCAAGATGAATCATAGAAAGATAACCCCTGGGAAGGCAAGAGAAACAGAAGAATGAAAAACAGGAAAGAAACTTTAAAAAAATTTCTGTGCCTGTCATTAGTCAAATGACTCACAGTTGACAAGATGCTGACTCTTGTCTCAAGATCTTTCTTTCCCTTTGTGCTCAGGCAAGGGTGATGACCAAAGCCGTAGGCTGGCCTGCTGCTCTAAGCATTCTCTGCATTGCCTGTGCACCTTGTTGCAAGTTTCTCTGAGGTTTGCACATGTCTGGGAATCTACAGAAGACTTTCCCAGTTGCGGATAGATTCGATGGAATGAATTTCTGGGCTATGTTTCCATTTATATTCTCTCCTGTGTAAGGTGGTTCTTTTCCTGCTCCTTCATCCCCTTCAGATCGCCTCCTCCCACCAGTTGGGGCACTTGTCAAATGGTGCAGCACCCAGGGTGGAACTGTGGGGCACCACACCAAGGAATACCAAGGTATACCAAAATGAGTCCAGCAGGAAGCCTTTGTTTCTGATGAATGAAAGGCCCCTTAAATAGTCATATTTCTGTTAACAGTGAAGCATCCCATTAGAAATGGGGTGTATAGGACCTTGGAGGTTCTGTAATCAGATATTTCAGCACGGTAAGAGTGATGACAGTTTCCTCTTAACAGTCTCTAATCCTTCATTCCACAAACACTGTCAGTGTACTGCTTTTGAGAGAGTAGATGAAAAGAGTGCTTTGGAGAAAAAAAATATTGAATGCTTAAAATGATACGCACATACTTTTTAAATGTAATCTCTCGTCTTTAAAATATAAGCTCTACTCTTCAGCAAGAGGTGATATGTAAGATACTTCAAAATGGATGCCAACCATAGTGGGCTTGCCTGCTCTATCTTCAGCTCCACTTAGTACTCAGGGCTACATACAGGATGGCTCATTAATTGCCAAGAACAGCAGCTTTATTTTTTATTTTTTTAAAGAGATTTTATTTATTTATTTATTTATTTATTTATTTGAGAGAGAAAGAGCATGCGAGTGGAGGTAGAGGGGGAGGGATAAGCAGACTCCATGCTGAGCATGGAGCCTGACGCGGGGCTCCATCTAAGGACCCGAGCCGAAACCAAGAGTCTGATGCTTAACTGACTGAGCCACCCGGGTGCCCCAAGAACAGAACTTTGAACAGCCATAGTTACGTGCTAGTGACTCTTGCTGTTTTATTTTCCCCTAATACTTTAAAAATACTTATACAGTAAAATGCACATTTTAAGTTTATATTTTCACGAATTTTGATAAATTTGTTTGACCCTGAACACGGCATGTAATATTCCCATGATCCCAGAAGGTTCTCTTAAGCTACTCTCCTCTCAAAACTTCCCACCCAGAAGCAACCATTATTCTGATTTCTCTCACCATAAATTACTCTTGCCTGTTCTAGAAATTCATTCAGTAGAAATGGAATCATACAGTATGTGCCTTTTGTGTGCCTGGCTACTTCTACTCAGCATTTAATATTTGAGACTTTTTCTCTGTGATGTGCTATGTATCAGTACTTCTTTGCTTTGTATTGTTGTGAAGTATTTCATTTTACAAATATATAATGATATTTTACCCATTTCCTTATTGATGGACATTTGGATTGTTTCTAGCCTAGTATGAATGAAAGCTATTATACACCAAAAAAGCACAGAGAAGGAAAATAGAAATAGAAACAGAAATTAATGAAGAGAAAAACATTGAATATAGTTAATCAAATCCTTTAAAAATTTTAATATCTCAATAAAAGTGATATTATGACCAGTTGGGATTTATTCCAGGAATGCAAGGTAGGTTCACTATTAGAGACTATACTAATATTATATACCATATTGTCACATCTAAGGGGAAACAAAATCCCATATCTCTAAAGCAGTGATTATTTCTAAAGCTAGCATCATATTTAATAGTAATACCTGAGAGATATTTCCACCGAGATCAGGAACAAGGCAAGGGTGCCCATTATTTCCATTACTTTCCGCATTGTGTGGGAGGGTCAGTGCAATTCAGGTGTTAAGGAGGAGTAAAAAAAGGGGTGCCTGGGTGGCTCAGATGGTTAAGCATCTGCCTTCGGCTCAGGTCGTGATCTCCGGGTCCTGGGATCGAACCCCACGTGGGGCTCCCAGTCAGCGAGGTGTCTGCTTCTCCCTCTCTCTGCCTCTCCCCCTGCTTGTGCTCTCTCTGTCTCTGTCTCTCTCTCAAGTAAATAAATCTTTAAAAAAAATAAAGAGTAAAAAAGATGTAAAACTATGTTTATTTGCAAACAACAGCTAATATACCTGGAAAACCTCAGAAAACCAATGATTAAACTATCAAATAATAAAGAATTCAGTCATGTAGCAGGATACAAAATTAACATACAAAAATCAGTACCTTTCACATAATCAAATAGAAAGCAAATAGAGGACATAGTGGTAGATGAGAACATTCATTACAGTTTCATGGTCATTTATCAGATGATATGCTTCTGTTCCTGCTGCTTCTGGCTTTCCCTATACCAGTTGTGTTGCTCTCCCCACGGAACATTTGGCAATGTCTTTAGATATTTTTGATCGTAACAATGATGTGTGTGGCTGCAATGTGGGGGTACTATATCCAGGGATACTGCTAAGTACAGGACAGCCCCTAACAAAAATGAATTATTCAGTCCAAAATGTCAATAGTGCTGGGACTGAGAAACCGTTTCCTGAACAAAACGTTATCTGTTTTCCAGTGCCTGTGTTTAGAATTGTGGGTTGGTAGGGTTTCTCTACCTTTAACGAATACATTTATAGGGTACACTTGAATGTAATGCTGAAGACTAGTAAAAGAGGAATCACTTTCCTCCAGTTACAGATAATGATGGAAATAACTTATTTTGTGTAGCACTTCGGTGCATAAAGTTTCATAGACTTCTTATTTGATCTCCTTAATATGAGATGGGTATAATAGGTGTTCTTATCCCTGTTCAGCTGATGAAGGAACTTACTGATTTTTTTCTAGGTTTCAGGGACTAAATCACATCAGACTGATGGGTATGTAGTTTCAGAGTGAGTGCATTGTTTGTTCATCTGTAAAAGTATCTTACCTGCTTTTTCTTTTCCAGAAGCTCATTTTAGTTCAAGCTCCATACTAGAGATAGGTCCTGGGCCTGCAAAGTTGATTCCTAGTCCGTATTTCCCTTTAATTGCATCTTGTTACTTAGAAATCAGTGCTTCCAGTGGAACTTTCTGTGGTGATGGAAATGTTACTTAAATCTGTGCTGTTCAGTATGGTAGCTACCAGCAACACGTGGCTATTTAAATTTATGTTAATTAAGATTAAATAAAATTTAAAATCCAGTTCTCTTCAGTTGGACCAGACACATTTCAAGTGCTCAACAGCCCTGCATTATGTTATCAGTATTTCCCAAAGGAACTTCAATAAATCAAAAGCATTTTTGTTTAATTTTTAAAATGGAGGTTGAGCCCCATCTTAGCTTCTGCCTATTACTGAGGCTTTGGTCACACTGAGGCTTAGTTAGCTTCTGCCCATTACTGAGGCTTTGGTCACACTAAGGCTTAGTTAGCTTCTGCCCATTACTGAGGCTTCAACTCTGTGGAAAAGGAGGGTGTTGCTTTTTAATTTCTTCATAGGAAGCAAATGAATGTCATCCCTATGTTGCTCTCCCTCAGCTAGTTTCTTTCTCTGACACCTTGGTCATTAGCTGGTGTGTATGTTGTTAATGTGCCAACTCACGGAGTCCTCATGGGAATGGAATGCCTGTTGAAGTGGTAGGAATTCATTCCCCATGTGAGCTGCTGATGCACTATTGATTCTCCAGTTCCATCTGCTATACTCACAGCCCTTAGCTTCCACTTGATGTTAAAGTTACCTTCTGTGACAACTAAGGGAATTGCTTAAAACCTCCCTGCCTCCTTGGGAACCCTGGAAATTCTCCCAACACGTGTGTGTGTGTGTTTGTGTGTGTGTGTGTGTGTGTGTGTGTCTTTGTGTTTTAAGGAGTTTGGTCGTATTACAGAGTTTTCAGCTGTACTGCGGCTTAAATTGTGTTGGTAGATGAACCTGGAAATATTACTGCTCTTTTTATTGCAATATTTCTTTGAGAAGGTATTTTCCAACTTACTGTCATTTAACATGACCTGAAAATTTGGGAAGTGTGTGTTTATGTATTAGAGTCCATCTATGTATTTAAAAAGTTAAAGTCTGTCAGTTTTAAGTTCCACGTCGTTTTATTCCTTGCACATTAAAAGATAAGAAAAACATTTGACAGTTTTACATTCTGCCTGTAGTAAAGTAGGAGGAAGAAAAGGCTCATTTTGTTTTGATGATTTAGAAAGGCTTTAGGCGGATTTTTTTTGTAAAGTAATTTAACTGTGGTTTAAATTTTTCCTGTTGTTTGTAGTTTAATATCCTTTCATCACAGCCCTGCCCTCAATTTACCTCTGTGGTTTAATTAATTCTAATCCATGACTAAAATGCTGAGGTAAATGCAGTTAAGTTGTGAAGTTGTAGGTTGACACAGTCCTGAAACAAACAAATAAAACATTTGGACATTGTCTTAGTTCTTTTGGGAACTCTTAGTTTTTTGAATTGGTAATTATGGAGTCTAGCCATATTCTACATGTTTTTAGAGTAATGTGGATTTAGTTTTATCTTCCCCTGCCTCTGTCCCTCCAGTAGTGTTTTGGTTTGTGAAGCAGTTGACAGTAATACTAATGTCTTTTTTATGCTTGTTTATTTTCAGAGGGAAGTGTAACATCTCCCATTTTTCTGACATATTTGCTGCTAGAGAGTTTAAAGCTCGAGTGGATTCATTTTTCTACATATTAGGCTACAACCCTGAGACAAGGTAAGTGAGTTACTTGGGCCCCCTCAGTGAGAACTTTTGCTTTTCTCACGTGCATGCGTGCATGTATGTGTGTTTACACATTTGGGTATATGCTAGTAAGATTTTAAAAAACCAACTCCAAAACCCAAAGTAAACCTCTTCGGAAGGTGTTCTAATTAATGTCTTTGGTGTCTAAAACAGCTTATTGTTTGCTCTTGATTTTATTAAGAAAAGGAGAAGTGAGAAAATTTGGATTTTGAGAGGGCAAGGCAAAGATGTACATTTAGTTGATCTGTGTTTTGAATTTAACTATGAATTGGCAGTTTATTACCCTACTGTACATTGTGTCAAGCCTTCCATGATACCATATTGAAAATTAGGACATTTTTTTAAAAAAGATTTTATTTATTTGACAGAGCGAGAGAGCACAAGCAGGGGGAATATTACAGGGAGAGGGAGAAGCAGGCTCCCTGCCAAGCAGGGAGCCCAATGCGGGGCTCGATCGCAGGACCCTGGGATCATGACCTGAGCCAAAGGCAGACGCTTAACCATCTGAGCCACCCAGACGCCCCGAAAGTTACGACATTTTTTGTTAAAGATTTTATTTATTTGAGAGAATGAGAGCGCATGTGTGTGTGCACGTGAGCCGAGGGAAGGGCAGAGAGAGAGGGAGAAGCAGCCTCCCCGCTGAGCAGAGAGCCCAATGCAGGGCTCAGTCCCAGGACCCTGGGATCATGACCTAAGCCGAAGGCAGACACTTACCCGACTGAGCCACCCAGGCGCCCCTGAAAACACCTAGGACATTATGGAAAGTTTGTTGGCTAGTCATTTGTTTTATTTATTTAGTAAAACCTGAGAAACACTCAAAAAAATACCTTTAGTAAGATTTCTGATGTGAGATGGATACATTCAGTTCTCAACCATCTAAGTAAGATCTATGTAACAGGTAGAATTATTACTTTTTAAGTGACAAACAATAGGATCAAAATAATTTAACAGAAAAAAAATCTTTATGTCTGTAATAGATTGTAGTTTAACTTAGCACATGGAAGAACTTCTTTAAGAGTATGTGCGTTCATTTTTATTCTGTATCATCATGCAACTACAATGGATTAAGGATTTAAAAAGAAAAAGAATGTTAGCTGGTGATCATGTAGTTTGTGCTCGGGACATCCGAAACATAATCTATAGACATAAGGACTTAGAAAGATAGAGAAGCTGCTTGGCCAGAGGAAGGTAGTGGAAGAACTGCATTCAGTTCTTCAGGTGCAAGGTGGGTATTATTTTAGAGAAAACCTTTTCCTAGAGGATGCTGAGAAATTATATATAAAAATTAGAAGGTTACTGTTTAGATAATCAATCTAGGGTTAATAAAAGGCAGTATATTCTTTGTCACAATCCTAAGAGGCTGCCTAAAGCTCTATTGGCACATACATGTTAGTGTCTCTCTGTGTGTATATTGTAGACAACAACTACAGGGGTAATAGTGTAATGAATAGTCACCTGTTTTAAAAAAATTAAATTCAATTAACATATAATGTGTTACTGGTTTCAGAGGTAGAGGTCAGTGATTCATCAGTCTTATATAATATCCAGTGGTCACCTTTTTTTTTTTTTTTACTTTATTTCCTTTAGAAAACAGTAAATTTGAGCTTTTCTTCTCTCTTTTTTTTTAAAGATTTTATTTATTTATTTGACAGAGAGAGACACAGCGAGAGAGGGAACACAAGCAGGGGGAGTGGGAGAGGGAGAAGCAGGCTGGGGCTTGATCCCAGGACCCTGGGATCATGACCTGAGCTGAAGGCAGACGCCTAACGACTGAGCCACCCAGGCACCCCTTGAGCTTTTATTTTCTTTTTCAAAAGTATGCCCTGTTCCAGTGACAAGCTGATCAGTGATAGTATTTTAGAGCATCCTGTATTTCAGAATGTTTATTTTACATATGGATTTATTGACTGCCTGGTCATATCTTGGATTTCTGTCTTAGATACAAAGGAGTCCAGAATTTCAGTGATGCCACGTTGATTTAACTGTTTGATCAGTGGTTGTCACGTTGCACAAGTTGGATTCTATCAGTGAATTGACTAAATAGCTTTTGTGTTTTAAATGTTTAGCTCTTGGGTTCATAAGAAGCAACCAAATAAATTTTTTACTTGTTTTGGTTATGTGTCTGTTTTTGCTGAATGCTTATTAAAAATGGTATTATATAACTTAACTGTGTAAATAGAGACTCGCACAAGTTCTGGTCTCATTTTTCAATGCGTGTTGCTGTCAGTCATTCAGAGTGATTCTTCCCTCAGTTATGTTTTAAAGTGTGGCTTAGGTAGGCAGTAGCAGGATGTCTGTCTCTCATCTGAAAAAAACAACACCGAGACATGCCCATGGCAGTGCGTTTATAAATTCTGCATCCTGAGTCACTTCTTTTCAGCTTTGACTTCCTGGTGGCCATTTGTTCATTTCTGTGCTTGTGTTCTCCTTGTCCAGCTTGTGCTTTGATATGTTGTAGGTTTTTGAGGGGTGTTGGGTGAATCGAAATGAAAAAAAGACTTGAATATCTACTTACAAGTAAAGCTTGTGGCAGATCTCACACTTCTCACAAAGTGAGTGTAAAAATTTGCCCTGGCTCACCGGTTTCACTCTGAATACGACTTTATAACTCTGAAGTTCCCATAGTTGCTCAGATTGTCACAAGAGTTTGTGTAATTCAGTAGGAGTGTAGAAAGACTCTGCTTTCCCCACCTGGCTTGCACACAACCTAATCCTTATAATGCTTGGGCTTCATAAGCTTGCAGAATTTACCTCTGTTTGTGTCATTGTTTCAAATCTGTGAGGGATGGGGTTGTGTGAAAAGTGGGCTTCTGGTGTATTTCTCCCCTTTTGGAAAGAGCAGTATACTGGCATGTAGTCCTGGCTCCATGGTGCTCTGTGCTAACTCCTAGTGCCCTGAGTTATTTGGAGAGGAAACGTCAAACTGTTCTGCATCTGTGAGATAGAGCATATATGGCCGAGACCACTGCAAGTGACAGAACGGTGACTTTGATGACCGTTGCCCTCCCCAGAAATAACTCAGGAATGTTAGTCCAAGTGAGCATTTGAGACTGAAGCTTGAGATGGGATTGCTTCTTTCTCATAGCACATTTTCTGATAGTAGTTAAAAGCTGATTTATGTAATTTTCCATAATTTATTTAGCATATTCACCTGCACTGAAAGTTTGGAATGGTTTTTCACATTTTTGCATACTTTTTTTAAAGCTCCAGTGTTTGGCTACTTTAAAAATTTTTCCCTAAAAAAAAATTTTTTCCCCCTAACCTGGTTATTATATTTCTGAACATTTCATCTTTTCAGAGACCTGACCTTTCCAGACTTCTTCTTTTTGATGGGATTACTCTATTGAACATGTGTATGACAGTAGGAAACAAACTTTTCTATATTCCTTGGTACTTTGCTTTTAAAGTTTCAGGGAGGGTAGTTTTCTTGGTAATTGACATGGAATTTTTATTATTCTGAAATTCTGTATTTAATTCTGAAATCCTAAACTCAGTTCTGAAATCTGAAAGCTCTGAAAAATAAAAAAAAAATTTATGCTAAGTTTGGTGCTGAAGCTCATTGGATGGTCATACTTGGCCTGAACTGAGATGAGGCTATTTGTATTCTTGAGTTAGTTCATTTTGGGTTGAGTGAGTTTGCACAATTTTTACTGCAAAAGTGTCAATGTGATAGGAGTTAGGGGGTCATTGGTCAGACACTTCTGGGTATCACACAGTATATGGTATATGGCTATAGTACCTTTCTAAATCTAAAAAATTCTGAATTCTAAAAATCTTCTGACCCTTAGGATCTTTGATAAGGGTTGGTGATACTGTATTCTTGCTAGCCATGACATTTAAGGAGCAAAACTTACTTGTGAGTAAAAAATTTGGTGGCAGATGTTTCCAGCTTCAAATAGGATGCAAACGACAAGGGTCTGACTAATGAGAGAGGCCTGAATTTTGAGCCCTTAGGTAATCAGGCTTTGCTTCTGGGGTTTGTTTTGACATTTCTCCACTCAGGTATTGTGTACTTAAGATTCACCCCAAATTTAATTCTGCAGTCAGCAGCATGCTCTGCAATATAATGTCATTATATTCTCATTTTGTCTGAAGGTTCTAATCCAAAATCTGGTTATAAAATAAAGTCAGTAAATTTCAGCTCAAAAATCCTAATACCTAAAGCCAGTGAGACCTTATAGACATATGCACAAAGCACCAGTATTCTTGGCTGAACTAAAGGAGGTTGGCTTATAAAAAGATAATTATAATTTCTATTCATAGGGACATGGCTGCATTCATCTGCCTACTATCCTTAGTTGCTTTTTTATTTATCCAGTGTCTCATAGCCATTTAATCTGACTTCTTGATCTTTTTGTTAAGACTGACTCCCCCTCTTGGACCAGGCAGCCTGGGTTCTGACTGTGGGCAGTCACTTCATCTTTGTGTCCAGGGCTAAGGCTGGTACTTCCTGGACTCTGTTTGTACCTCAGTAAAATGGGGGTGGCACAAGCTATCCTGTAGGTTGCTTGTGTAAACTGTCAGGTTTTTTGTTGCTTCTTGGGAATTGCAAAAAGAATTATAAATTTGGTTGAAAAATACCAAAGTTTGTTTTTTAACCCCATAAAATGTTAAGTCCAAAAGCAAAACATAAACTACTTCCTAAGACGTCTTGATTCTACCAAGTAGACCATTAACCATCTGGTTGATTGTGCTGACATATGGAAGTCTGAACACTGGGGATTTTTGACTCTCCTTAGAATATTGATTATTAAATTCATTTTGAAAATATACAACTACTAAAAATGAAAGATAAATTTCTTGCCTCTAATGAAACTGACATAACAATTATAATGAATGTGTAAGTGATATTAATGTGAAATAATATACATTTCTATGGTCAGAATATTTCAATGAAAAATTTGAGAGAACCAAAATTGAACAAAAAATTTTTAAAGATTTTGTTTATTTTTTGAGAGAGAGCGCAGAAGCAG